GCTGAAGTGGATGATTTCTGCAAGGAGACAAAAAAAAAAAAATGCAATCCATTTCTTGCTCAGTCGGCCTCGTCATGCATCCTTAGCTCCATCTTAATTACATGTTTCATCATGTTGTTCTGTTCAGGAGGCCCTGGGAAGGCTAATATGGGAAGCCAGCAGAGCCAGCCTTAGGCACAGGCAGCTCTGGGAGCTGGCTGGGCCCCTCTGCTTGCAGCAGCCCCATGGACGGGGTCCCCCCGGCCTTCCCCAGGAGCCTGCTGACCACAGGCCAGCTGTGCAGGGCTCGTGGCCAGCCCGGTGTGCAGGGCAGGTGGCTCAGCCCTTCTGGCAGAGCTGCAAGCAGCCTGGGACCATCTCCTGCGTGCTGGGGGTAGGAGCCCGCCCGGTGGAGGTTCCTCCATCGTGGAGCAGCTGCCGCGGGGTGAGTCGTTCAGGCACGCAGCTGCAGCTCCCCCCGGAGCCAGGGGACGTGGTGACAGCAGGGCTGCGGGATGAGGAGGGGCACGGCCCTGAGAGTGCAACGAGGGAGAGGGGGGGAGAGCCCTGGGATGGAGACCCTGCATCAGATGGGCCCTCAGGATAGGTGAGGGGAGTGGAAAGTCGACAAACCTTATTTCGTTTGGAAGGTGACTGGTGCCCTGCTGCTAAATTTTGTTGGGACTCTGTATGGTGTAAAACCAGCTCTGCACACTGTGTTTGAAATGAGCTGCGTTGTGAAAACCTGTTGGTGGTGAATCAGGTGTTGAACAGTTAGTACTTAATACACAGGGAGGGCAGAAACCTGTGGTCAGCACTGGGATAAGCTAAGGCAGGGAAAAGGGAAGGACAAGTGACAAGTAATTCCAAGTGATGAGATAAAGAAGCAGGTCAGAGATTAGGGTATGGGACAAGGAGACTAGCATGTCAGATGTGCTCTCTGTTGGGGAAAGCAGGAGGTCAGAGTCCAGAAAGAAGCTGGGTCAGAGAACCAGTGTCCTTACAGGTCTGAGCTGGGAGCAGGAGCAGCAGGAGGCAGCACTGGATGTGGAAGTAACAGCTTGGACTTGGCTGGTGCAGCTCATTAACTGCTCAGTGTTATGCTACAGGCAGCCAGGCTCACCTCTGCTGTGGGCAGGGTCCTGGCTTGAACATCCCCAGAAACAAATGCCTTCCTGGCTGCTTTTCCAAGTACCACTGTTTCCCTCATGGTCCCTGGGGTGGCTGCACGCAGTGAAAAGCAGCAGGCAGTAAAGAGCCCCAGTAATAAGGGGGCAGCTGGGCACCCACTTTACTCCCTCTACACTGCCAGGCATTGTCTGACCTCTGTGTCGTCCTGCAGCCCTGGAGCAGCTCTGCCTCCCTGCACTGCCCAAACCCAAACCTGTCTTCCAGTTCAGCTGCGTAGTTAACGAGCAGCTTGGAAATAACAATCCAAGGGACTCCTTCATCCCCTGCTTTGCACTTCAAACGAGCTTTTGAGCAGCAAACAGAACTCCTGTGGCCAGGCAGTTCCAGAGCACGGGAGCTTTTCCTGGTGTGAGGCAGGCACGGAGGCTGCTCAGGGTGGGGAGGAGAGAGGCCCGTGTGCCTCTGCTGTGACAGGAGGTGGTCAGTGACCAAGTAAAAGAAGTTAATTTGCAAATGGCAGTTGGAGACACCAGCTCTCTGACTGGCCAGCAAGGCACCAGCACTGTCAGCAGCCTCCATGGGAAGAGGGCTCGTGGAGGAAGGAAACCATTTTTGGAGGTGAAACACCAAAAGGATCCTGCTTGCTTGTGAGTGGCTTCAGACTGGAGCAAGTGAAAGAGGCTGTCCTGCCGAGGGGACAGCGAGCCAGGCTGCTGGGAGCACAGCAGGCGGGCCGGGGTCCTCACAGGGAGCACCACAAAGAGACCTGGAAATGAGGACGGGGAGATGGGGATTGTGTGTGTGCGTGTGTGCACACCAGGAGCTGGGAGTGCTCGTGTAGGCAAGCGGGTCGTTAGGAGTGGGAGGCAGACAGGTGAACTAATTTGACTGTTCCCAGAGGAAGAGAGGGAATGGGGGAGCCGTGCGGTGCCTCCTTCACTGCAGCCCCCTCCTGTCTGAGTGCCTGTTTGTTCCAAGCCCTGCCCCCAGTGCTGCTCCTCTGTCATCTGCTCCTCTTCCAACCACCATCCTGGCAGGCCACGGTCCCAGGAGATGCTGAGGGTTTGCAGCTCTGGGTGGAACGATGGGGTTCAGGTGACTGGCAGCCCCAGACCCAGGCTCCGTGGCTTGCTCTCCTCCTCACTGTGTTCAGGGTGCCTCGCTCCCCTTGCAGCCTCTCCACTAACACCATCTGCCCCCCTCCCGGCCGGAGCTCCTCCCATCTCCCTGTTGCCAGAGAAACAGCCACCTTGGCAACCTGCTGTCATCCTTGAAACACACATGGAAAAGTCTTCCTGATGGTGATGTTTGATCCTCCAGGCAGATCTGGAACATCACTCATACTGACATGCATCTCCTGTGACACGATTACCTGGGGGAGCGGCGGGCGCACACGCACGCAGGGGCTCTGTCTGTGTTGCTCTGTGGAGCTCTGTGGGCCATGGAGATGTTTGAGGGCCTGGCAGTGTATTGATTTTTTTTTACTATTCTTTGCTCACTCTAAGAAGAAAGGAGAGTTCTCGCTTGGGAAAAAACAAAACAAAACAAAACACCCAGAAAATAAATAAAAATCATACCTGCTGTAGGGTTTCCCATATTTGACAGCCCCTGTGCTTCCAGACTTCAGCCTCACCTCTCTTCTCACCCTTGTGTGCTGAGAATAACCACAAGCAAAAGCTTGTGGGTGTCAGGCACCTAAACAGTCTTGGGCAACGCTGAGCACTGCCCTTTACCTGTGGTGCCCATGGTGCACATCAGCCTTTCCCCTGGCAGAGGCATCTTTATTCTGCCCTCTGGGATGATTTGGAGCAGAGGGAGGCAGGAGGAGCCTTGGCATTGTTCTCCTGTGTGCCTCGAACAGGGTAGACAACATCAAAGCCCATCTCTCTGAGCCTGGAAGAGGAAGATGATGCAGCTGCACTACAAAGATTTCAGGGGAAAATAATTTTCCATTTGCCCACGTTCAGGTCAGGAACTCCATAATTTTAGAGATGGCAGGGGTTCCTAAAAAACATTGGGCACAAGATGGGGAAAAACCCAGTGGGCAATTAGTTTTCTTAAAGCTAAGTAATTTCTGTGACCCCTGCTCTCTTCTCCTTTCCCTGCGCAGTGCCTGAATCTGCAGCAAGTTGAGGTCTATTCTATCCTTGAGAACAACACAAACAACCCATCACCCAAGAAGAGCCCTCCAGGGAAGGTAAGAGCTGGGGTCCTGCTCTTGGGAAGTCCCTTTGTGCCCTGGGCACACGAAGAAAGGAAACCCACACAGTCCAATGGCCCTAGCAGGCAGTAAGTGTGTCTCCAGTCCCACCAAAGGAGGCCAAAGGGACGTGGGATCCACTTGCCAGCTGGGCTGCCCATGTTGCCTGTCTTCCCTGTTTTGGCAGAACTCCTGCAGCTCTGCCACTTCTGGCAGCCCCAGTCCCACCCAGGCACTTTGCTGTATGACAGACACAGAAAGGCATCGAGGGCTTGGGCCTCACCACTCCCCCTGAATGGGATGGATGTTCTTTGGGAGCTGGACAGATGCTGGTCCCCTCTATTGCCCTTTCCAGATTATTTAGGCAGCTCAGAAGTCCTCTGGGGTGGAGGAATCTGTGCACTGGGGAAGACCCTGCATATGGCTTTGCTCTCACCAGCATTAAGCACCTGAGAGCCTTTCCATGGTAGCAGAAATTAAGATGGTCTGAGCAGAGACTGGGCTGATACAGTCTCATCCATCTCTGGGTCCTAGGAAAAGGCAGTGTGGGTACATCTTGGGCTTGGATCTTCTTACTGGGCTGTGAGTTACAAGTTAGAGACAAGGAACTAAATCTACTCATAGTGAAAGTAGCTGCAATTTGGAATACACAGGTGTGGATCAGTTGTGGGGCCTCATGAAGGAGACCAGAGGCCCACACAGCCCTCTGCCCTGCCTTTGGCAAGCATCAGCTGCTCTGTAGGGACAAAATTTGCATGGGGCATCCCAGGGAACGTTTCCTTCCTGCCTCCAGTTCTTCATTGTTCTTTTCCCCTCCAGACCTCTTACCTGCTTAAAAAATATATTCACCCTTCTAACGTTGGAAAATGTTCCTGAAAAATGTCTCCTGCTTCCTCCCACTGATGTCCTGCTGGGGAGAGTTCCCCAGGTTGCCTCTGCAGTGTGGAGCATCCCCGTGTTTCATGAAGGACAGTATTTTCCAGTCTCCCAGGCATTTCTGTAACTCCTCTATTTTAGGAAAAGGTGATCCAAAATCGAGCTGCCTCTTCTGTGTCAGAGCTGCTGGCTGTGTAGTGTGGTCCCAGGGCCATTGGCCTCCTGCAGTTACTGCTGGTGCTGGCAAAGGCAGGGGCAGGCACCTGACTGCTGAGGGGAAGGCTGGGTGGGTTATATAGCCCATCTTATACCTGCACTGGGAAAGAGCACCTGTGGTGCTGTGTTTTGAGTGAGCTGGATAGGGAGAACAGAAGGTCCTTATCCCTCTTCCCTGTCCCATTTATCTTTCTGAACAGCTCTATCAGGTGCCCCTTTGGAGTGGTTCAGGCTGGAGGATGAGATGCAGTACAGGTGGGGATTTCTCCTGACCGTGGAGCTGTCTGGGCTGGGCTGAATGACTTGTGTCTGCCCCATGCCGCTCAACTGTGGCTTGGGGGAGCAGCAGGTCTGTAAAACAGAGCAGGAGCAAAACAACAAAGCAAGGGCAAAGGAGCATCTGTGTGTGAGTGAGTCTCAGAGAAGCAGAGGTGGGGGAAACAAAGGAGAAGAAAGCAAAGAGAGGGGAGGGGATAGGATGAGCTCTTGCAGCAGGAGCAGCCACCACCAAGCGCCCTCAGCTCTTGTGCTGGTCAGAAGCAATGTGAGTGGCAGGGCCCCGTGACCTCTGCACAGGGGCAGCCGTGCAAAGGGAGCAGGGAGCTGCTGTGGGGCAGCGGGGGGTTAATCCCGCGGGCCTGGGAGGTGTCTGCAGCACTTCTGTAAAAGGGTTCCCTTTGGCGGTGGCAACGAGAAGGTGCCCGTGTGGGGAGGGACCTGTTTGCCCGGTGGCATTTGGGCTGCGTGCTGGGTGTCCCTGCTCAGGCAGCAACGCCCTCCTCCCGACAGACCCGACCTGGCTGGTGGAGACACAGCACTGAGGGGTCAGGGAATTCCTCCTTCGCAGAATCCAAAGTGATTTATTTTTTTTTACCGACTCTAATTTTCCCTCCCCTTCCTGTCTGACAGCTTTTTGGGGGAAGAGTGAAAGTGAAGGAGGCGTCTTTATCCCCGGGGCTGGATTAGTCACTTTTGTCTCTGGCGGAGCAACATTTCTCACTGGAGTCGCTTCTGTTTCAGCAGATCACTTGTAGCCATTTCTAACAGAACAAATGTCAGTGCCTGCTTATTAAGAATTAATTCATCATCCTTTGAATAATTTTCCTCCATTTCTTTTCTCTCCTTTTCACCATTCTGCAGACACCTAAGAAGCAAGCATCTCTAGAAGAATCCTCTGATACACTGTATGAGAATATCTAACAGGGAAAATCTGACCCTTTGTGGACCAGACGCCTTTCTGTACGGGTGAACTTCTCTCTTGCATCCTCTGTTCTCTGCAAAGAGCCACAGTGACTTCAGGGCACAACCACGAGGGACTTGTGGACCTCTGGCTCCTTGTAAACTGCCCTTCATTAACAACAGAATGCGACTGTTCACCTCCCACCAGGGCTCAGTCTGCACTAATGCAGCAAAGCTATTGTGCAGCAAAGCCTTGCCATGCAAAAGAAAAGCTCCTTTTGTCAAGCGCTCACAGGTATCTGAGAAATGGTGCAGATGGGATCTGTGCAGGTTTCTTTCACCTGGCCTAGCTTAAATACTTGAGTCTCGGTCCTCTGGAAATGATAGGACAATCCAGAGACCTCCCTGCTTGATGGCTTGATCTTCTAATCCTGACCTTCGGCAGTCCATCTGATCCCGTGCCTGCGGCTTTCCTGAGATGGCCATCAGGCCTTCGTGCATACTTTAGCCGAGATCCAAGCACCCACCTGCCCATTTTCCCTTTCCCGGGGACCCCACAGTGAAACATGCTTTCCCATAATCTGCTAATCCCATCAAGCAGTCACAGATCCCTGCTGTGACCATGCTCAGTCGAATCAAATCCGTGCCTCCGAGTAAACGCTTTCCCCTCAGCACTATCAGCAGCAGTGCACAGCGAGGGCTGGATGCAGGGACAGAGATAAAGATGGAGAAAAGGAAACAGGGAAAAATAACCCTGCCTGGCAACACCTCTCAGCAGCAGCGCCCGTTCCAGAATGAAGAGGAGGAACGAGGAGGTGGGAATCCAAGGAAACTCCCTTGCTGGAGCTGCATAAGCCGAGCGGGTCTAGGGCCAGGTTCCAGCCCAGGGAAGTTAAAGGCGAGCTCCCCATTTTCCTGTTCTCCTTGGCAATGGACATTGTTACCTTGGATTCTGAGCCTCTGTGGGAGCAGGCACGGTACCTCTGCCCCACCAAGAACATTAGGGTTGCCTTTGTGTCAGCTGGCCAGTGTCTCCCATCAAGGGTATGAGGCTCCTTTACTCCCACCCCGCAGGTTATTTGCCAGGGAGACCAGTTATGAAACCTGGAATGCCTGGAATTTTGTATCCAAGCTCTTCTCTCCTCTTTGGGCTGGAACTTGCCTGCCATTAGTGCTGGTGCATATTCTCGTTCTGATGGGGAAGAGGTTGCATTAAATATCCATGTAACACGATCAAACCAGTGGATCAAAAAGCTGAGGCTGTTTTATCTCAGATTAAAAAAAAAAAAACCAAAAACCAACAAAATAACAACTAAACAAACCCAACCCAAAATAAAAATATGCAGCAAAACTTGAGGGGAATCTTAGAAACCTCTTTAAAGAAGATCAAATTAAAATTGAGCTCCAGGGTCATAGGACCCTCTCTAGTTGAAGATAATGTTGCTATGCATCAGAGATAGAGGCCATGGAAAAAGTCTCCGGGGCCTCCAGCCTTCCTATACTATGTTTAAAGAGATAATCCGCTTATTGCTTTGCTCTTTTTATTACCAGAGATTTCAAACATGCAATTTGGACTTTCTTTAACCACAGGAGAATGTTTTCTCTCCCCAGTGCTGAGGAATTCATTTCAGAAAGAGCAATGAATAGACAGCACGGCTTATTAGACCTGTTTTCCATTTGTTAAGTGATCATGACAATTATAAATAGTTTTGAAGTCAACAACGATTTCAGCGTTCACTAAGATGACCAGAAAACGTTTGTGTTCACAGAAGAATTTATACAGCTATAGCAATTCCTTTCCTTAACAAAATTTGATGAAATTATGAGATTAATTATAAACATGTCGTGGTATGTCAATAAAATATTCAGCAGAAGCTGAAAAGTGAAAAATTTCAAAATAATGCCGCTTAGTTTTTGTGGTTTGCTTTTTACCTTTTATAAATGCTAAAAATACTGAGTGCTGCTGCTGGTTTCTTGGCAGGGACCTCACTTGGCAGTGAATTGATTTGTCTTGTCTTTCTGTTACCTTTTTAAACAGCGTTTCTTACACTCGTGCCTGAACAATTCTATATATTAAGTAGCCGAAGCTGTTTGAAATGAACCATGAGAGGCAGAGCAGCATTTGGAACAGAAAAGGCTATTCCAGAACAGTCGGTGCTGAAGTACTGGAAGAATCACCCCGAGTTCTGATCAGCAAAGTGAAAAAGTGAAAAATCCCAAGGAGCAGCTGCCAGCCCAGGGATCTGGTCTGTGTGCCAAAGCTGGGGAAGTCAGGCGAGGCCCTGTGCCCATTTCGGTGGGGTCTGGGCTGGCCCAGCCGGGGCAGGAGGCTGCTGCCTGGGGGAAAAGGGGGGTTGGGAGCACCACACCCCACAGCCCCGGCGGGGGGGGAGCGAGCAGGAATCACGCCCGGGGAGAGCAGGGCTGGGCCCAGGCGGCATTTTCCAGGGGGGGTGAGGAAATGCCTCCGGGCACAGCTACGAGAGACTAACAAATAGAATTTATTTCTTATTGGTGTAGCTACTGCGTGGCGAGGATTGGCTCAGGAAAAGGCAGTCGCTTGGGCTTTTTGTCTTACCTGGCCCTGTGGCCCTTGAGAACAGATGCAGAAAATTGGTATTACTAGCAAAAGGAAAGGAGTTAATTTTTAAATTGAGCAATTGAGAGGGAAAAAGAAAGAGAGAGAAAGAAAGGAAGGCTCGGCCCCTGCGGCTCCACAAAGGTGCGCGGTGGTGACCGGCTTGTTGTGTTCACACTATTTGCTTTAAATGGGGAGAACGAATTCTTCCCAAAACCGGTGTCCCCAAGGGCCTCAGCCCCCGTGCTGCCCCCGGCGTGGGGCTTCTGTGCACAGAGCAACTCTCGGGTTACAGGGTATCCGCTTTGCTTCCCAGGTGCCGGATTATCCCTTTGTGTTGAGAGGATTCCAGGGAAGTGCAGACCCATTGTCAACTTAAGCGGTGGTGCGAGGTGGAAATGCACTTGGCTGCCGGTCTGCTGGAGGAGGCGCCGAGTTCGCACTAGGATCCTTTGTCCTCTCCACCAGGTGCGAGCCTTTGGTCCTGAGGTGCAGCCTCTCCCCGTGATCATCCTCAGCCTTTGGTCCCGCGGTGCAGCCTCTCGCCGTGATCATCCTCATCGCGCTGCCTCTGCTGGCGTGGCTGCAAAGGGTGTTGGGCACATTGATGAGGTCATCTGGTCCCTTTAAGACGACTCCTTCACAATGCTTCTCCCCAAATCCTGATTCGACAAGGCAAAACCCGGGGTGCACTTGAGCCGTTCATTGTCTGTGGGTTTCATCCTTTTCTGCAGAGGACAAACTCTGGCATGGTGCTGTTCTGCTGTATGAAATGTGCCAGCTGTAGTCTGCCTTTTTCTGTGGATATTTTGTATCACAGATCTTGCTGTGGTGGAAAACAACAATGAAATGTACGTCCGAGGTGTAGTCCAGGTTGTTCTTCATCGCTCTTGTCTTCTGTTCCTCTTCCTTGTCCTTCTCAGGGGTGTCACTGGTGTAAATCATCTCTAATTACCCAGCTAGGGCTGGTCCTTTATCGAGGGAGGTGCTTGACTGAGCAGCAGCAGGTGGAACAGTTGTTACCTCTCTGGGTTGCACCGCTGCCCCCGCAGCAGCGTGCCCAGGGTGTGCCAGGCTGGGCCAGGGGCAGGAATCTCTCCCTGCTGAGCTGCCTCTTGGAAAGCCCCAGTGCTTCTTCAGCCCTTGGCTGTGCAATCCTGTGTGACCTTCTGAGACAGGGCTTTAGGGAAGGCGGTGAGGGAAGCCACCAGATGGTGCCCTAGGTCCTCTCTGCTCCCTTTGCTGTCCCCTGCTTGCCCACATCCCCCTGCCAGCTCCCCCGGGAGCCCCCAGACCACGTACTCCCCATGAGGGGCACCTACAGCCGTGCAGAAGATCCCCAACCACGACTGTCTTCTACCTGTGGGGATGGTGCCTCTGACCCCTCTCAGCTCCGCACCGTGGCCCAGGTGTCACCAGCAGCTGTGAAAAGATGGGGACAGGACAGGTTCCCCTGGAGAAGCAGCTTCATCGGGTGCCAGTGTCTTGGCACAGAGCTGCCCAGGGCAGGACAGGAGAGTGGCTGCTGACACCATCACTGGGCCAGACTGGCATCTGAAATGCAACATTGGTCAGATGCTGGGGGCTGCTTGGAGCTGCCACCACTTTCTGTCACCGTCTGGAAACAGCATCTTACCCTGGGTTTGGGAAAACTTACTCTGTGTCCATGGTGAAAAGCCCCTTTGTAGCATATGCTGCTCCTGCTCTTTGCTCTGCCAGGAAGCTGGTGAAGGCTCAGGTACTGCTCCTTCTGTGCTGTGGGGTTCTGTGCTGGTCAAGATTTGCTATGCACAATGAAGTCTCATTAAGAGTTTATAAATAAAAAAAGGAGAAGGTCAGAGAGCACCAGTGACTGCTGTGAACCTTCAGTGTCTTCGCTTGCTTGATTCTAGGGCAAGTTACTGTCAGGGAGAAAATGGTTTCCTTGGCTAACGATAGCACAGGAATGCAGGTTATTGTTAGTAAGTTACCAGCTCCTTCACTATTAATAACCAGGCCTTTGAGCTGCCACGCTGTGCTACGGGCTGTGGATCTCCAGGTTCACAGCACCAGAGCTGCAGGACGTGCCCACCCGAGGAGGAAGCTCAACAGGCAGGTTCCTGTGAGGGGTGGCACAGGAAGGCAACCTGCCAGCTCCCCAGGCAAGGGATGTTTGGGCAGGAAGGGAAGGCTCCCACTCTGGGAAGGAGTCTCTCTCCTCACCAACTGATGAACCTCTCCTGGAGCTTTCTCCTCTTTTCCTTCAGCTCTTGGAAAAACGTGGGTTATATTTTATGGCTGTGAGCCACAGGAAGATTTGGATGTGCCAGGCAGGTCAGAGACCCTGCTCTAAGGAGTCAAGAGTACAATTACCCAAATCGGAGCAAGGTGAACACAGAGAAGCTAACATATGGGCTTCCTCACAGTGCTGTGTCTTCTAATCACCAGTCAGGGCCTCTGGTTT